AAAGGGGCAGGTTAGGGACAGTCAGGTTGGGAAGGAAAGAGCAAGAAGATTCTGGACATCCTCCAGCTAGCAAATGAGGCAGGCTCTATCTGACAACCCAATAAATGTTACCCCTCCCCCACCACATCCTCTCTAGCTAATCCCACCATACTTAGATTTTTAGGATGGCCCAAGTAACCCCTTCAGTTCATAGCCATGTGGCACTCTGGACCAGAGCCTTCTCTGTTCTGAAATGCAGTGGGAGTGATCTTCCAATGCCTATTGATATGGACAATTCCCATTGGCTGTCCACCTAACAAGTCCTGAAGACTCCAATGGCAGTGAGGTGGCATCAAGACAAAGTGTTGGTACTGGACTGCAACAGTGCATGCAGAGCTACTGCAAAGTGTCATGTAAAAAAGGGTAATAGAAAAATCGCCAACATGTTTCAGGGAGGCAACACTACTCTCCCTTCATCAGGGATCAACACAAGATAAATCTTAGAAGGACAGGGACTTCACGGATCCATATTAGAACCAGTATTGAACTGTCCACTTAGAGTAACAACTTGGCAGCAGTTGTTGAGCAACAATGGAGGCCCCATGGAGTCCATGAAGTCAATTTATGGTCTATTCTGTGTTGAGCCCTGATGAAAAGAGGAGTAGTATTGCCCCAAAAATACAGTGGCTGTTTTTGTAGAACTTTGGTTTGAGCTACGATTAGGTGCACACTGAGGGAATCCTCGCTCTGTGGGATCCACCTTACCAGATCTATTGAGCTTGTTTGAAGTTTTCCTTCATCTGATTATCCAGAAGTTCCTAGTGCCTCTAAGAATATGTTGTTCTAGACTGTTTTCTCTGAGTTCATCCAAATCTTATCCCTTACTGAGCCCTGATGAAGTGTGGTTACCTCCAAAACACGTTGGATATTTCTATAAATATATTTACCAACAATAAAAAATTATCTTGGACTCTTTCATCTAGTTTTGGTCTGGCTTTCCTTTCTGTATTTTCATGGTTTGAGTTACCATTGGGTGCCCATAAAGGAAAGCCTCGCTGTGTGGGAGCCACCTTACCAGACCTATTGAGCTTGCTTGAAGTTTATCTGATTATCCAAAAGTTCCTAGTGTCTCTTTGAATATGTTATTCTAGACTGTTTTCTCTGAGTTCATCCAAATTTTATCCTTTAATTAGCCCTGATGAAGTGTGGTTACCCCCCGGAACATGTTGGATGTTTTTATAAATGTATTTACCAACAATAAAAAATTGTCTTGGACTATTTCATCTAGTTTTGGTCTAGCTATCTTTTCTGTATTTCCATGGTTTGAGCTACCATTGGTTACCAGAGCTGTTGAGCTTGTTTGAAGTTTTCCTTCATCTGATCACATTGAAAGTCTAAAAGCTCCCAGCACCTCTTTGAGTATGTTGTTTCTTGACTGTTTTCTCTTAGTTCAACCAAGTCTTATCTTTTGTTGAGCCCTCATGAAGTGTGGTTACCCCCAAAATGTGTTGGCTGCTTTGTTACCAACTATCCAAAAATTATCTTGGACTCTTTTATCCGCTTTTGGTCTGGCACTCCTTTTGGTATTTCTATGGTTCAGGCTACTGTTGAGTGCGCATCGAGGGAATTCTAGCTGCGTGGGAGCCGCCTCTCCAGAGTTTTCCTTCATCCAACTACATATACATGTCTAAATGTTTCCAGAACCTCTTTGAATATGTTGTTCTTGAAGTAACTATAAAACCTTGCTGGAGGTCTAAGTTTGTAAATGGGTAGAATAGATTTATAGGAGAACCAATCTAAAGTTGGGACTAAAAGGACAAGTATTTTTGTTAATCTTTGGAAGAGTATACCATATATACAAGAAGGCATCCAGAGGAAGTTGGGATTTAAAAATGGAGAATCGGATCTTAAAAACACCCATTTTGACTTGTCCTCTTTAAGGCAAAGCAGAAAATTACATAGTTACATAGTTAGTCTGGCTGAAAAAAGTCCATCCAGTTCAACCATTAAAAAAAAAAAAAAGCAAAGCATGATCCAATTTGCTTCTGCAGGGAAAAAAATTCCTTCCTGATCCCCCGAGAGGCAATCGGATATTCCCTGGATCAACTTTACCTATAAATGTTAGTATCCAGTTATATTCTGTGTATCTAAGAAAGAATCCAGGACTTTTTTTTAAAGCAATTCACTGAGCTGGCCAGACCAACTCTTGAGGGAGTCTATTCCACATTCTCACAGCTTTCACTGTGAAGAAACCTTTCTGTGTTTGGAGATTAAATTTCTTTTCATCCAAATGTAAAGAGTGCCCCCTTGTCCTCTGTGATGACCTCAGGGTGAATAACTCTACACCGAGTTCACTACATTAACCACTGATGTATTTATACATGGAGATCATATCCCCCTTATGTATTATACATGGAGATCATATCCCCTTTATGTATTATACATGGTGATCATATCCCCCCTTATGTATTATACATGGAGATCATATCCCCCCCTTATGTATTATACATGGAGATCATATCCCCCCTTTTATGTATTATATATGGAGATCATATCCCCCCCCTTATGTATTATACATGGAGATCATATCCCTCCCTTATGTATTATACATGGAGATCATATCCCCCTTTTATGTATTATACATGGAGATCATATCCCCCTTATGTATTATACATGGAGATCATATCCCCCTTTATGTATTCATACATGGATATCATATCCCCCCCTTATGTATTATACGTGGAGATCATATTCCCCTTATGTATTTGTACATGGAGATCAAATCCCCCTTATGTATTATACATGGTGATCATATCCCCCCTTATGTATTATACATAGAGATCATATCCCCCTTATGTATTATACATGGTGATCATATCCCCCCTTATGTATTATACATGGAGATCATATCCCCCCTTTTATGTATTATACATGGAGATCATATCCCCCTTATGTATTATACATGGAGATCATATCCCTCCCTTATGTATTATACATGGAGATCATATCCCCCTTTTATGTATTATACATGGAGATCATATCCCCCCTTATGTATTATACATGGTGATCATATCCCCCTTATGTATTATACATGGAGATCATATCCCCCCTTATGTATTATACATGGTGATCATATCCCCCTTATGTATTATACATGGAGATCATATCCCCCTTTATGTATTCATACATGGAGATCATATCCCCCCTTATGTATTATACATGGAGATCATATCCCCCCTTATGTATTATACGTGGAGATCATATCCCCCCCCTTATGTATTATACGTGGAGATCATATTCCCCTTATGTATTGTACATGGAGATCAAATCCCCCTTATGTATTATACATGGTGATCATATCCCCCCTTATGTATTATACATAGAGATCATATATCCCCCTTATGTATTATACATGGTGATCATATCCCCCCTTATGTATTATACATAGAGATCATATCCCCCTTATGTATTATACATGGTGATCATATCCCCCCTTATGTATTATACATGGTGATCATATCCCCCTTATGTATTATACATGGTGATCATATCCCCCCTTATGTATTATACATGGAGATCATATCCCCCCCCTAATCTCCTCTTCTCAAGAGAGAATACATTCAGTTCCTCTAATCTTTCCTCATAGCTGAGCTCCTTCATGCCTCTTATCATTTTTGTTGCCCTTCTTTGTACTTTCTCCAGTTCCCCAATGTTCTTTTTGTGAATTGGTGCCCAAAACTGAACTGCATATTCCAGATGAGGTGTTACTAATGATTTGTACGGGGGAAATTTATATCTCTTTCTCTGGAGTCTATACCTCTATTAACACAAGAGAGGATTTTAAATCGCACAACGTAGGTTGAAAAATTGGCCAAGCCAGACATCAAAGTATTTGTAAACCCTTTTTTAAAAAAAAATAACATAAATAAACAAATGGACTTGCACTGAGCAGCCCCGATCCTCCTCTTCTCAGGTCCCCCTCTGGTGCTTCTGACTTCTTCCCCTCCACCAAGTTCCATAGCAAGCCCCCTTCCTGTAGTGTGCAGCCTCCTTCCTGTAGTGTGCAGCCCCCTACCTGTATTGTGCACCCCTCTTCCTGTACCATGCATCCCCCCTTCCTGTACCATGCTGTCCCCCTTCCAGTAGTGTGCACTCCCCCCCCTTTCCTGTACCATGCATCCCCCCTTCCTGTATTTTGCACCCCTCCCCCTTCCTGTACCATGCAGTCCCCCTTCCAGTAGTGTGCAACCCCCCCCCCTTTTCCTGTACCATGCAGCCCCTCTTCCTATACTGTGCAGGTCCACTCTCTGTAGCATGCAGCTCCCTTCCTATAGTGTGCGGGCCCTCTTGCTGTACCAGACCAGGCTACATGATCTACCTCACACTGAGACCTATTGTTACAGATCCTACAAAATGTATATATAAAATGATTTTAATTTCAAAATGTGTACGATTCAAAAACGGACACCAGTAAATAGCTATTTAGTTTATATATTTCAGTCCAGGAATTACCCTGGAAGACACCTGAACAAATATGGTGCTGTCCTTCTGGGACAGAAAACCAATGAAATCATTGTTAAGAGGGATACTGCGGTCTCAATGAACTGCATTAAACACCTGGAAAGGTATACTTACAAATTACTTAAGATGCCGCATTTTACATTGAAAAGTGTGCTAGGGCCACTTTAAGAACTAAAGGTAACATAACAGTAAAACATTCAAAGTTGCCATGCATTATATTTAACACATTATAATAAATCCAGGAAAACTACTGCAAAATAACCCCCCCCTCCAAAAAAAAAGAAAAAAAAAAGAAAAAATTATGTAATTAGGTTTATGCCCATTGCAGATCACTGAGGATACTCCATTTGAGTCCTTCTATCCCATCAAAGTATTTGTTCTGACTGGATGAAATGTCTCTGTGTAACGTGAGATATTCCGCTTGTCTTCTGTATTTAAAATATGTCCACATTTGTGGTTTGTTTTATAAAATATCACTGCATTCACTATAGTATAACAGGTCATTGTTTGCTCTGCTGCCCCACCGTCTCTCCTCTTGCATCAGCCACATCTCTAGGCACACGCACCGTCAGCCCATCAAGGGCCTTTGTCATACAGATCTGGCAGCCAAGACGAGACCTGTAAAGTTACAGCACACAACACAGAATTAATGTGGGGGGAATAATATGTTTTTTAATACATTTGACCACCAACATAAGGGGCATTCTTCCCACTGACCACCAGTGTAAAGAGCAGTCTTCCCACTGACCACCAACGTAAGGGGCATTCTTCCCACTGACCACAAAAGTAAGGAGCATTCTCTTCTCATCCAGGGGCGTAGATAAGGGGGGTCAAGGGGGTTTGAGTCCCCCCTTCCCAGAGTATCCTGTCCAAGTGCCATGTGCTGCTGCGCTGCTTGTCAACAGGACACAGGGACAGCACCAGGGAGCTGCATAGGTATTGTAGCACCTGCATATCACAGGATACATTACATTTACTACAGTAGCCGCTACAATGCCACCTCCCACCCACTGCTGTCAGTTCTAGTAGTTGGTTGCTAGGACCACCCAGTGTCCTAGCAAGAGTGGTAAGGAACTTATGGAGTCCTTGATTTAATATTGGGGAGGAAACTCTGTGGACCCTGATGTAAGGAGGGGGGGCTCTGGGGATCCTGATGTAAGGAGGGGGGCTTTGAGGACCCTGATGTAAGGAGGAGGAGCTCTTGGGACCCTGATGTAAGGAGGGGGGCTCCAGGGAACTTGATGTAAACTGTGGTTGACTCTGGGGATCCTAAGGAAGGGGGCTCTGGAGACCCTGAGGAAAAGGGAGTGTCACTGGGGACCCTGATTTAAGGAGGGGGCTCTGGGGAACCTGATGTAAGGAACATGGCTCTGGGGGACCCCAAAGTAAAGGGGTGTCTCTGGGGACCTTTATGGAAAGAGTGGGTCTCTGGGAACCCTGAGGTAAGTGAGGGTGACTCTGGGGATTCTGATTAAAGGAAGAGGGCTCTGAGGACCCTGATGTAATGGGGGTGTCTTTGGGGACCCTGATGTAAGGAAGAGGGCTCTGGGGACCCTGATGTAGGGGGGGGCTCTCTGTGGGCCCTGATGTGAGGAGGAGGAGATCTGGGGACCCTAATGTAAAGTGGGGGTGGCTCTAGGGATCATGATGTAAGGAAGGGGGCTCTGAAAATCCTGATGTAGGGGGGTATCTCTAGGGACCCCAATCTAAGGAAGCAGCACTCTGGGGACTCTGATGTAAGGCGGGTGACTCTGGGGATCCTTATATGAGGGGGGGTGACTCTGGGGACCCAAATGAAAGAAGAGGGGGCTCTGGGCACTCCGATGTAAGGAGTGAGAATCTAGGGACCCTGATGTAAAGAAGGAGTAACTCTGGGGATCCTGACTAAGGGGGTGACTCTGAGACTTTGATGTGGATTCATAATGTAAGAGAGGAATCTGATGTGAACAGGTGGGCCCGTCCTGACTTCTGCACTCTATATGTTGTTTTGTATGTTACTAATTTTGGCCCCTGCATTCTATACATTATGTTGTATGTTACAAAGTCCTGACTAAAGTGTTCATTGTCCTCGCAGTTGCTGGTTTTAATGAAGTTCTTCTTTAAGGTCGGCTCAGATAGACAAAGTGACCACTTGTGTGTCTGCGTGCAGAAAATCATATGGGATGGACAGGTTTAATTTAAAAAAAAAATGATGCTTTATTCTGAGGTTTATATGTATCCCTGAGATTATCACTTGTGACATAGTAAGTAGGAGTGTTTTGTGGGTTTAAGGTCTGTGGTATACAGTATGTGTGTAAAGTTTACAGCAACTAGGCACAGATTCTTTTTATCTGTCTCCCTTTAAGCTCCTCCCACTGTTAGGCAAAATCTGTTCTCTGCATCACTTACTACTGACCCCTGAACTTTATGTCCCTTTAAGCCATGACCAATATTCAGTACAATCAGAACCACACCCAATATTTTTGTGTGCCGCACTTTCTTTTTCTGTGGCAAAAGATTTATGACCTTGCACACAGGCCCATTGCTTTCAGAAAACACCCCCAAGCCAACCTTATTGAGCAGGTGCAAGTGGCACCATCTTGTGTCACTCTTGTAGTTTGAGAGAGCTGACACCTCCCTCCCCCAGGAAAAAAAATATCTATGGTCCTGTTCTCATCTGACCATTATTGTAAGGAGGCACTTCTCTACTGACCACCAATGTAAGGAGGATCCCTTCTTACACCAATATAGGGATTCTTCTCCACTGACTACCAATATAAGGGGTCACATCTCCACTGACCACCAAAGTAAGAGGGCACTTCTCCACTGTCCATCTATGAAGAAGGCAATTTTCCACTGACTGCCCCCACCCCCATGTAAAGAGGGACTTTTCTATTGACCACCAATGTAAGTGGGCCCTTCGCCAATAACCACCAGTATAGGGGGATTCTTCTCCACTGACCAGAAATGTAGGGGGACCCTTCTACACTGAGCACAAATGTAAGAGAGCACTTTTGCACTTACCACCAGTGTAAGAGGGATCCTTCTTCATTGACCACCGATGTGATGGTATACTTCTCTACTGACTACCAATGTAGGGGATCCTTCCTCACTGATCACCAATACAAGGGGTCATGTACCACCAAAGCAAGAGGGATCTTCTCAGCTAACCACCAATGAAAGAGGCACTTCAATACTGACCACCAATATAAGAGGGCCTTTTTCCAATGACCACCAAGGAAGAAGTCACTTTAGCACTGACCCCCCCCCCCCCCCCCCCTTGTAAGGGGGGACTATTTTATTGAACACCAATGTAACAGAGGCCCTTCACCAATGACCACCAGTATAAGGGGATTCTTCTCCACTGACCATAAACTTAGGGGGCACTTCTGTCCTGACCACCACGAGGGATCCTTCTTCACTGACCACCAATAAAGAGGACTGTGACAGACCCAACCGGTACAGGGGCTTTTGGAGGGGACTAGGGGCTAGCCTTCTACCAACTGATTAAGGCTCATGGAGAGAGCAGATCATTCTCTAATGATGGACAACAACGTGATGAACACTGAGAGCGAAGCTTAGATTTATTCTCTGCATAAAGACAATAAATGTTCCTTTCTGGGGTGGATGGAAAGATGTGATTTTAATCTTGTATAAATTAATGGTCAGAGGAAATATGGTGGCCCTCATGTGGACTGGGTTGGAGAAACTCCTCTATTTGGGACAGAAATTTGTATCAACTATCTCCCACAAGAAATCTATGAAGATAAACTAATTCCACTTTTCAGATTGTTGGAATATTGTATGAGTTTTGTCTTATGATGGACAGATTATACAAGTAAAAGCAAACACCTGAAAGACAGCATGTGTAATGTACTTTGTGTATTCAGCGGTGGGTTTGTTGCCGGGCCTGTTAGCTTACTGTTAATTAGATCAGCTGTTGGCTGTACTGTTTAACGTTAATCTGCTCACCTAATGAGTGCAGGATGTTTATCCCAATGTGTAATATCTGTTTTATTGTTCATGTGGGGGCACTTCCCTATTTCAGCAATATATAAAAACATGTGTTCTTGTTCAATAAAGAGTTCCAGTTTGGCATCTAAGCTAGTCTCGTCTAGTCTTAGGTGCAATGCCCAATGACAGGCGTTCCTTCACAAGGACCCTTCATTGATCACCAATGTAAAGGGGCAAACTGACCACAAATGTATTCTGGCACTTTAATGACTGACCCACAATGTAAAGGGGCCCTTCTCCACTTATCTCCTATGAAGGAGGCACTTCACCACTGACCACTAATGTAAGAGGGGACGTTTCCACTGACCAGCAATGTAAGTGGACCCTTCTTAACTGATCACCACTATAGGGGGATCCTTCTCCACTGACCATCGATGTAAGGGGCCCTGCTGTACTGACCACAAATACAATCTGGGACTTTAATGGTCACCAAAGTAAAGGGACACTACAATATTGAGTGTTTTTTTTCTGGCTATTATTTTCTTAATTGCATGATTACAACTGAAAATAATAGAGTTGGGGGGGGGTTAATACATGACCCACCAAGGTGTGAAATAAGCTAGGCACACATCTGCACAGTGGATTGTCTTACCTCCACTGAATGCTCTGAAAAGGAAAATAGTGCAAGTGGTGCAGATGGTTACCTGTTTGTCAGTCCAAAGGCCAAATCCAGCATGTCCATCTCCTCATCTGATATGGCACCCAACTGGTCAAAATGCTTCTGGTCGAATATTAAGTGACAAGTCGAACAGGCGAGAGTCCCTTCACAGGCACCTTACAGAATGGACAGGGAATTAGCACTATTTATTACATAGGTAATTAAATACAATAAAATAAGACATCTCATATTCTAGATGGACAACCTGTGACTTCTTAGTTGTAGTGGAGCTACAAGGGCCACCATGTCCTGTAGGCCTTTTGCTGCAAACCAACTATTTGTTCCACCACAGCTGTTGGGCCGCAGGTTGCCTGATACATTTTTAATAATTCCCTATTGCACTATTTAATGCAGCTCCTTATAGCTGCACATAGGCATAGATGGATGAAGACACAACTATGCATCGCCATTAGCGTAAAGTAGCGCATGTGCACTGACTCAATGCCCTAAACGCAGGCACTTACTAAAGAGGAGTATTGTAATGACTGCCCATTTGTTACCCACATAATGTAATTGCCCATTTGTTGCCCACATATTGTAATTGCCCAAATGTTGCCCACAGATTGTAATGGCTCATTTGTTGACTACGTATTGTAATTGCTCGGTTGTCGCCCACATATTGCAATGGCCCAACTGTTGCCCGCTTATTGTAATGGCCCATTTTTTGACCACTTATTGTAATTGCCCAACTGTTGCCCACATATTATAATTGCCCAACTGTTGCCCACATATTGTAATTGCCCAATTGTTGCCCACTTATTATAACTGCCCGACTTTTGCCCGCATATTGTAAAGGTCCATTTGTTAACAACATATTGTAATTGCCTAATTGTTGCCCGCATATTGTAATTGCCCAATTGTTGCCCACATATTGTAATTGCCCAATTGTTGCCCACATATTGTGATTGCCCAATTGTTGCCCACGTGTCTTGATTACTCATTCTAAAGTGAATGGTATCTCCATGTTCACAAAGGCTCATCCCATTTGCAAAGCACCATTGTCCCGATGTTGAGGGACAAGGGCCCCTTTCCCACCTCCAAGTGTCCCAAAAAAGAGTGGAGAAAGTTGTAAAATGAGGGCCTCATGATGGAATCTGGAAGTCCCCTTATAATAGACGGAATGTGATATTCACTCCCTTCCAGGAGAATGAGTACAATGGTATATTAGTATCTCCATCCCGATCCCAAGAAATAGTTAAAAGGAAATGAAAACACCTAATTAAAAATCTAATAACATTTAATAATGTCCCTAGTAGTAAATCCATCCCAGTATTCAAGTGAAATCTATCATGATGACTCGTTGCCCATCGATCTGTACTTGTCGCCCTCTCGGTGATAAATGGCAAATTCCCGGCTTTGGTAGTTTAAATTCACTGTCAGAAGGTCATTAACCACATTAAGGCAATGATTTCACCTGGGATTCCCAACAGTATTTTCTGTAGCCTGGAATCTGTCATTTAGCAGCAGGAGTGCGACACCCCGTCCAAATTCTGACACTACTGAATTGGGATCGGATTCAAGTGTGGTGTGGTAAATGGCAAATTTCCTGGTTTGGTCATTTAAACTTACTGTTGGGAATTTCAGATAAGATCCTTGACCAAATTAGGTCAATGGCCTTGACAAGGATTCCCAGCAGTAATGCCTCAACCTGGAAGCTGTCATTTAGTGGCAGGAGTGCAACATACACAGCCCCACTCAAAACCTGACACCGTTGACTTCAATAGGGTTAAGTTTCTAATGTGATATGTACAACCCACCAAAAGTTCAGCAGCATTTGGAACTGTCATTGAACTGCCACTGAATCAGCTCTAAAAATGTTAGATTTCCCTTCACATTCTCAGAGACAATAGTTGTCAGAAACAATAGGGAAGGCAAATTTTACAGCGTTGACATAGACAACTATAAAAACATGACAAGGAGTCTAACCATTCCATGCACTAGAGGCCTCTACATACATCTCAGGAATATTTCAGTGTCTTACCAAATCCATCAATGTTCAGATGGTGGCGGATAACCACTTCTAATAGACTCTCCCCTTCCTTCACTGTTGCTGTCAGAGTTTCTCCATTGCGATTTATGAAATTCACTGTTAAATTCTCATCTGTGGATCTACATGACAAATCATAGAACACAGTACCAGACTAGCCAATCATTGAACATAATTTCATGAAAATAAACACAAACAACCATAGATATACTGATCATTATAGATATATTCTGAGAACTATAAATAAATGCTGATCACTAAGTGACATATCGGCATGGATGTCACTTCACTTCCTCAAACTCAATCTTTCCAAAACTGAGCTCTTAGTATTCCCCCCACCCCCGTGCCCCCTCCCCTAACTTCCCCATCAAGATCAAGAACACAATCATCAGTCCCTCCCCTCATGCCAGGGTACTAGATATAATCCTAGACTCCCATCTGTCCTTTCAGTCGCAAATCCAAACACTGTCCAAATCTTGTAGACTTCACCTCTGCAATATCTCCAAGATACGCCTGTTCCTAACCTCGGAAACCACTAAGCAACTTATTCACTCCCTTGTTATATCTCTTGCCTTGATTATTGTAACTCCCTCCTCATTGGCCTACCTCATCCCAGAATATCCCCTCTTCAGTCTATCATGAATGCTGCTGCCAGACTCATCCACCTTACTAACAGTTCTGTATCTGCCACCCCTCTCTGCCAATTCCTCCACTGGCTTCCCATTGCCCAACGGATAAAATTCAAAACATTAACAATAACATATAAAGCCATTTAGAACTCTGCCCCAAATTACATCACCAATCTTGTCTCCAAATTCCACCAAAACCGTACTCTCCACTCCTCGCAAGACCTCCTACTCTCTAGCTCCCTGGTCTCCTCCTCCCATGCTCATCTCCAGGACTTCTCCAGAGCTTCCCCCATCCTCTGAAACGCTCTACCCCAATTTATCAGACTATCGATTACTCTGCTCACTTTTAGGCGATCTCTGAAAACCTATCTCTTCAGGGAAGCCTATCCTGCCCTCAGCTAGTAATGGAATCTTCTACTCTTCCAACCAGTCCGTTCCACACAGTTACTACCTTTTGTACCACTAGCCCCTCCTTCCTAGATTGTAAGGTCCTCCTATCCCTCTTGTATTGAACGGTATTGTCTCCCGTTATATTGTAAAGCGCTGAGAAAACTGTTGGCGCTATATAAATCCTGTATAATAATAATAACTAGAAAATCTACAATTTCTGGGGAAAATTGTGTGAAGTGTTCTTGCCTCCACCAGTAGTCTACAACTGGAGTGGGCGGAGTAGCTTTTGTCACTCTGCTGCCTGCTCACACACCTGGGTTCCTATGGCAACTCACTCAGCAGGGGCAGAGAAGAGCGGTTAAAAACAAACTGCTCCAACTTGCTCACTTCACTGGTGGTTGCCATCTTCAAACGGTTGTAGTTTAAAAATTATAAATCCTACACCGAAGAGCTTTATATTATATCACAAGACCCAGACCTACATTTTGATGCATAGTATGTCTCTGAAATATTAAAAATGAAGGCACAGTCACAGTTTAGATATTGCCCTTCAAATTTCAGGTGTCTAGAGTGGAGTTTCAATGAATGTCAATGGGCGGCTTGAGTTGCAAACAAATGGTCATATTGTGAAAACTATCAGGACTATGGCTTAGCCGTGGACATTTTAGTGGCAGCAGGGATAGCTGAACGTTTTGATACAAGATTTGTGTAGGTGGGCTTGAAAATGAGGGAGTGATGGCAGTTTAGCAATTATGTCCTGATTTTTCATCTCACACTCTAGCTTTTGTCAGCTCCCACTCTAGTTTTGAACATTCCGCCATTCATTCCTATGGGACCAATTTCTCTACAAAAACGGTGATATTTTGTGAACCATTTGGCGAAACGTTCCACAAAGTAATAGCAAACCAATCGGGAACAATCCGCATGTTTCGGTATATTACTTGTCTATATAGTGTAAAAACTGTGGGAGGAGTTAGGGTGGTAAATTTTGCTATAATAAGAATATATATGTGAGACTAGAAAAGCTACAATTTCTGGGGAAATTGTGTGAAGTGTTCTTGCCTCCACCAGTAGTCTACAACTGGAGTGGGTGGAGTAACTGGGTGGAGTGGCTTGTCACTCTGCTGCCTGCTCACACACCTGGGTTCCTATGGCAACTCACTCTACAGCAAGGGCAGAGAAGAGCGGTTAAAAACAAACTGCTCCAACTTGCTCAATTTACTGGCGGTTGCCATCTTCAAACGGTTGTAGTTTAAAAATTATAAATCCTACACCAAAGAGCTTTATATTGTGAGAATCACAAGACCCAGACCTACATTTTGATGCATAGAATGTCTCTGAAATACTAAAAATGAAGGCACAGTCACAGTTTAGAAATTGCCCTTCAAATTTGAGGTGGCTAGAGTGGAGTTTCAATGAATCTTAATAGGCGGTGTGAGTTGCAAACAAATGGTCATATTGTGAAAACTATCAGGACTATGGCTTAGCCGTTGACATTTTTAGTGGCAGCAGGGATAGCTGAACGTTTTTATATATGATTTGTGTAGGTGGGCTTGAAAATGAGGGAGTGATGGCAGTTTAGAAATCACGTCCTGATTTTTCAGCTCACACTCTAGCTTTTGTCAGCTCTCACTCTAGTTTTGAACATTCCGCCATTCATTCCTATGGGACCAATTTCTCTACAAAAATGGTGATATTTCATGAACCATTTGGCAAAATGTTCCACAAAGTAATTGCACACCAATCGGGAACAATCCGCACGTTTCAGTATATTACTTGTCTATGTAGTCTAAAAACTATCAGGACTATGGCTTAGCCGTGGACCTTTTCAGTGGCAGCAGGGATAGCTGAACCTTTTTTATATAAGATTTGTGTAGGTGGGCTTGAAAATGAGGGAGTGATGGCAGTTTAGAAATCATGTCCTGATCTTTCAGCTCACACTCTAGCTTTTGTCAGCTCCCACTCTAGTTTTGAACATTCCGCCATTCATTCCTATGGGACCAATTTCACCACAAAAACGCAGATATTTTGTGAACCATTCGGGGAAACGTTCCACAAAGTAAAAGCACACCAATCGGGAACAATCCGCACGTTTCGGTATATTACTGTCTATGTAGTGTAAAAACTGTGGGAGGAGTTAGGGTGGTAAATTTGGCTATAATAAGAATATACAGTATATGTGAGATAACAATAAGTGGTCTTGCCATGCAAGAACACTTAATAAATATACTGATCATTATAGATATATAATGAGAACTATAAATATATGCTGATCACTAAATATACTAATCACTATAGATATACATTACTGTGCAAAAGTTTTAGGCAGGTGTGAAGAAATGCTTTAAATTAAAAATGATTTAAAAATATAAATATATATTTATGGTTTATTTTTTTTATCAATTTACAAACTACAAAGTGAGCAAAAAAAAAAATCTAAATCAAATTGATTTGGTGTGACTACCCTTTGGCTTCAAACCAGCATCAATTCATACACTTACACATTTTGTACACTTGCACAAAGTCAGGGATTTTGTAGGATCAGAGTCAGGCGTATGATTAGCAATTATACCCAGTAGGTGCTAATGATCATCAATTTCATATGTTGATTGAAACAGTCATTTACTGAAACAGAAACTGCTGTGCAGGAGGCTAAAAACTGGGTGAGAACAGCCAAAAGAGATGGTTTCATGTCACAGGTTATACACCATGGCAAGAGCGAGCACAGCAACAAGACACAAGGTAGTTATACTGCTGATGCAAGGTCTCTCCCAGGCAAAGATTTTAAAGCAGAGTGGGGTTATTAGATGTGTTTTTCAAGCTCTTTTGAAGCACAAAGAAGTGGGCAATGTTGAGGACCATAGACTCAGTGGTTGGCCAAGGAAACCTAATGCAGCAGGTGAATGACACATGCTTACTTCCCTTCCACATCAGAAGATGTCCAGCAGTGCTATCAGCACAGAACTGACAGAAACCAGTGAGCCCAGGTACACCCATCTACTGTCTGAGAAGTCTGGCCAGAAGGGGTCTTCATGGAAGAATTGTGGTCAAAAAGGCATACCTTCAATGTGGAAACAAGGCTAAGCATCTCAACAATGCAGGAAAGCCTCCTGGACCCGTGTCCCGCTTTCTTGATGATTTCTCCGCCTGGCTACCCTACTTTCTCTCCTCTGAACTACCCACTATCATTCTCAGAGATTTTAACATCCCTATTAATGTCAACAACCCGGCTACTTCCCAACTCTTCAACCTAACCTCATCTTTTGCATTAGCACAATGTATACAGTTCTCCACTCACTCTGATGGGAATACATTAGACCTTGTTTTCTCCCATCTTTGCACTCCCTACAACCTCACAAACCCCCTCTTTCCTCTCTCTGATCGCAATCTCATCACCTTCACAGTCTCCTCGTCTTCAAAAACCTATTCCTCCAAGCAGCAAACAATTACCCGCAGAAATCTTCACAACTTGAACCCTGCTCCTTTCCACTCTGCAACAGACCAACTCTATGTTAGAATCTCTCCCCTGTCCTGCCCTGACCTGGCCACTGCTGTCTACAACAGTTTGCTTTCATCCACATTAGACTCATTTACTCCTCTAACAATACGAAGCATCAGGCCCCGACCATTACAAACTTGGCAGACTGACGACACCAGAAATCTTAAATGACATAATCATACGCTGGAGCGATTGTGGCGTAAAACCAAATCCCAGCAAGAATTCACCCTATATAAATCTGCTTTCTTAACATACCCTTCATGCTGCCAAACAAGCCTACTTTGTCACTTATTAATACCTTGTCATCCAGTCCTCGTCGTCTCTTCTCTACTTTTAACTCTCTACTTTCTCCACCTCCACCCAGTACCGCATTCACTGCTCACGAAATTGTAAATCATTTCAAAAACAAGATTGACGCAATTCGTAGGGGCATTACCACTGCACAGACATCCATCCCACTTAGCATACCTTATACTAAACCTCCCTCAACACTTTCCTCTTTTGACCTTGCTACTACCTAAGAGGTCACTAAGGTTTTCTCAGAAGCCCGTCTCACTACCTGCGCCCTGGATCCTGTCCCCTCACAACTACTACGGTCACCCT